ACTTTCTGTTTGTTAAAAAAATATTGGGTTAAAATACATAAGTGGCTTGAGGAAATGCTACATAAACCGTTAACATTTAAACCTGAAGTCTTTCTGTTAGGTATTGTTCCTGATAATCTTGATAAACAAACTATATATTTGACTTTACATTTAACTACTGTGGCGAGGATTGCATTTGCTCAACATTGGAGAAGCGAAGAGCTGATTCTAAAAAAGATCTTGGACTGCGCGGAGATGGACAGATTGGCTTTGTCTTTGGAGGAGAAGGAAGAAATGTATTTCTATCAAACTTGGAAATTTTTTATCATTGGTTAGAGAAACAGGACTATGCATAGAATTGAATATAGTTCTTAAATGTAAAAAAAAAAAAAAAAAAAACAGAGTGTGATGTCGACCCAGTATATCCGATGTTCTGAATAATTGTTGGTTTTAGTTTTGGAGACTTGATCACTTTCTGGTTGGGTACGACAGTCTTTCATCCCAAGCCAGAAGATGCATTTAAGTTGGGTTTATTTGCCCTTAGATTAAATGCCTTGTCCCACCACCCTAGAAGTGCTTTCAACAAGGGAGATGTGATATTGCTTACCCCTTTGGTGGAAGATGTGTTAGTGACATGAGTCATGTAAGCAAGCATTATACACACTGCAAATGTGTTGGGAAATACAGTGCTTTACTTTCCCTCCTGACAGCTTCCCCAGGCCTGGTGCCCTTCAGATGTGTGGGATTACAATCTCCATCATCTTCATCCAGCATGGTAATCAGTCAAGCTGATTGGGATATAAGAAGGAGAGCCATGCTGAGCCTTGGGAGGCACACTCTAGCGTCTGCAACTGGCCAGGAGAACAACGACCATTTGAGGACTGCAGCCTTTACTTCCAAAAGAACTTCATGGCAAAGGGGAGACCAATCTGACCCCTCCCACTGGACTTGTAGGAGCAGCTGCACAAATGTTGCTTTCCTCATCCCTCACCATTCTTTTTCCTTTTGTACCACACAGGCATGCAAGATCATCCTCAGGCAATCATTTTAGGTCCTTGCCTGTCTGAGATTAAGTTGGGCAGTGACACTATATAGAACTTTTTGTTGTGCTGACTACCTGCCTTTAGTATTCCTTCCTTGGGAAGTCTCTCCCCAGAGAGACTTGTCTGATGCGAACCTCATTCAGTGTCAGGTGATGACTTTTTCTTGAGGCTTTTTATGGCTTTAAAGCAGTTTTTAAAGCACTACTGTTTAGGTTTTATTGTTCTACATTTGATTATGACTGCTTTGAAATGTTTGGTATTATTGTTGGCTGCTCTAGACACTCTTATAGAATTTTAAAGCAGGATAAAAGACACATAAAAGTAAAATCAAGAAACAATGACACTTTTGATTTTGAAAATCCAACTTTAGACACTGCAGTGAAGCATTTTGGACACCTCTTGATTGCTATTTAAGCCAACGAGACCTTTAGACACACTGAATGTTCTGTAAAATCACACTAGAGGACATGGTAATTTTTCAGACTGCAAGTGTACTTCTAATTTTTCTGGTCTCAATTTCCATAATTTGCCTTTATTCATTAATTTTAAAATTTCTTCTTACAGCTGTCCTGGATGCCAAACCGTAATGTTATTACTCAGTAAAAAGAATGAAACACATACCTGGTGTTTCCAACAAAGCCTCTGAGTTTTATGGATACCTGAAAGTTGTGTGCTCTTAATGGCTTCTTTCTAACTGTATAAAGCAGACAGGCAATCCATCAAATGAAAAATCTATATGCTAAACAGTGTGAGGTCATTGGTCTCATTAACTGTTGACCATCTGAAGTCACTGCAGAGCAATTCATCAAAGACCGATCCAACTGTAGAGAAAGTCAGGGATAACTGTACTCAGTGCTTCACCAGAAAATAAGCAATGTCACACAGAAGCTCTCCGAGCTGTCACACAGTGGACAAATCACACTGTCATTGAGATTCCAATCAGTTTTGTGACAAAACAGTACTTTAAAAAGTGTACTCAAAGGGTTGTTGTTGTTACTCGCGAAGTCGTGTCCGACCCATCACGACTCCATGGACAACATTCCTCCAGGCCTTCCTGCCCTCCACCATCCCCCAGAGTCCACTTAAGCTCATACCAACTGCTTCAGTGACTCCATCCAGCCACCCCATCCTCTGCCATCCCCTTCTCTTTTTGCCATCTATTGTTCCCAGCATTAGGTTCGTCTCCAGTGAGTCCTTACTTCGCAATAGGTGGCCAAAGTATTTGAGTTTCATCTTTAAAATCTGGCCTTCTAAAGAGCAGTCTGGGTTGATCTCCTCTAGGACTGACTGGTTTGATCACCTTGCAGTCCAAGGGACTCATGGGAGTCTCCGCCAGCACAATTCAAAGGCCTCAATTCTTCGGCACTCTATACGCACTTTTGTCTGCAGGGTGATGTTTCTACTTTTTAGTATGCTGTCTAGAATTGCCATAGCTTTCCTCCCAAGGAGCAAGCGTCTTTTAATTTCTTGGCTGCAGTCACCATCTGTGGTGATCTTGGAGCCCAGGAAAATTAAATCTGTCACTATCTCCATTTGTTCTCCATCCATTTGACAGGAAGTGAGAGGACCGAATCCCATGATCTTTGTTTTCTTAATGTTGAGTTTCAAGCCAACTTTTGCGCTCTCCTCCTTCACCTGCATCAAGAAGCTTTTTAGTTGCTCTTCACTTTCTGCCATTAGAGTGGTATCATCTGCATATCTGAGGTTGTTGATATTTCTCCCAGCAATCTTAATTCTAACTTGTGATTCATCTAGTCCTGCCTTTCTTATGATGTGCTCTGCATATAAGTTACATAGGCTTATAGACAGTATACAGCCTTGCCGAATTCCTTTTTCAATTTTGAACCAATCAGTGGTTCCGTGTCCAGTTCTCACTGTTGCTTCTTGACTTGCATATAGGTTTCTCAAGAGACAAATAAGATGGTCTGGTACTCCCATCTCTTTAAGAACTTGCCACAATTTGTTGTGATACACACAATCAAAGGCTTACTCAAAGGGTTAGTATGCCCCATAAAACCCAGTGTATCGCATGTTTCAACAATTTCTTTTAAATCCCTTCTTTGTTTTTCCCAATGTTTTCATCCTATGAAAAAACATTGAAAAATGAGATTGTTTTTTGAGTGGGCAATATTTTTGTGGTTATTGAGACAACTGTACACTTTAGTCAGTTCTGGGAGAAAGGCAATATTGAACCTCATCCCTTGAAGTTGTAGATCCCTGCCTTAAAATAACACCTTCCCTAAAGTGGACACATAATTCCTTCCAGTCATTAGCAATAGCATATTGAATTGAATGACGTAAGTTGTACTTTGTTGATTTAGATTGTCTTCCCCTAAAGGACAAATTTCATAGCTTGAGGGTGCTCCTGGATCCCAAGTTGTCACTTGTTTCTAAGTTGCCAGGAGTACCTTCTTTCAGCTTAGGCTGATTTTTCAGGTATGTTCCTACTTGGATGAGTGGTGCCTTGCCAGAGTTGTGTGTGTGCTGGCAACTCTCACCTGGATTACAGCAATGCACTCTATGTGGGGCTGCTTTTGAAAATGGTCAAGACACGCCAACTAATTCAGAACAGGGTAGCATAGCTTTTATTTATTCATATCCCATCCAACACAAAATGTCTCAGGACAGCAATACAATAGGCAGAAATAAGTGCATACATCAAGCACCTTGTCCAGGAAGATTTTGACGAGTACTGGACCTTGTGAACATATTAAACCAGTCCTTTGTTGGCTGCACTGGCTACCTGTTGCAATCCAGGCCAAATTCAAAGTGTTGACGTTAACATACAAATCCCTAAATGGCTTGGAGCCAGGATATCTGAAGGAATGCCTATCTCCAGATATCCCTTGCCGATCACTAAGATCTTTGACATGAACCATCCCCAACGAAGTGAAGGGGGAAATGGTCTGAAGGGCCCTGTTTGCACCTCATTTACAGAACACCCTTCCTAAGGAAGTGAGCCTGGTGCCATCACTGCTAGCTTTTTGGTGTCAGGTAAAGATGCTTCTATGTAAACAGGTATTTTAGTAGCTTCTGGTTTCAACAATTGTTTTAAGCTCCATTACCGTGTTCCTTGTCATAATACGTCAATTGCTAGTTTTGTGCTGTTTTGATTAGATTTTATGCAATTGTTTTTATTGTTCCTTTTTTATTGTAAGCCTCCCAGAGTCCATTAGGCTACAGAGTGGCATATAAATGTATTTAGAGCAGACCCTATGAAATCAGTGAGACCTAATTTAATCCACACTAAAGTGACATTGATTTCAGCAGGTTTACTGTAAGCATGACAATATCTGGATCCAACTGAAAGTTTTCTTTTATTGCCACAGAACATCATTTTCCAGAGTCTCAGGCGAAGGTCTTCCCTAGCTTCTATTACCTTACCCTTATTACTGGAGATGCCAAGGATTGGACACGGGATCTTATAAAATAGGTTGTCCAACAGTCAATAAAGGTCCTGTGTGAGTGGGAAGTTGTTTTGTCTTCATGTGAAGATACAAAATAATTTATTTTTAGCATTCAAGAAAAGGAATGGATATTGACTCAGAGAAAAGGATATTAACAATACATCTGGGTGCACTTTCAGTAATTTGCTTGACAGAACCTATGGAGAGCTGTGACTTGTCTTGTGCTGAGCATTTGTGATTTACATGTACAGTATAGAAATACAGAAATGCATTTGATTGAAATTTAAAACCTTTGCTGCAAAGCTGCCTTTAAAATGTTGTATGTTGTCAAAATACTGATTGATTATAGTTGAAGTCAAGGCTTCAGAAATTACTTCCTATAATCAACATAAAGTGTTGGGAAAGCATTGCAGAGAGAGAATTGACAATTTAGAATGCTGTTTTGTCTGTTTAACCACAACTACCACAGAAATAATTGTCAAGAATGTTGGAGGCCTATGACTCACACCAGTCATTTGGGAATTTTTTTAAAGTATGTGAAAGGTTCAATTACCTGCTAAGGAGATGGAGATCAAGTTGAGTCATGCCAATTTTATTGTATTGAATATTACACATTCAGACAGATGAAAATGCACATAATCAAGGACATGTATTGAAAAATAATAAAACTAATAATGTGGCTTGTTGCAATAAAACCATTTCATCACTGTTAAAGTTTAACAAATTTAGATCCTAACTATCCTTAGTTTTGAATATCAACTAGTATCTTTACAAGTATGTTATCAGTTATATCAGTTAAGTTTTATCATCTCTAAAAAGATGGACAAATCTTTTTAGACTGTAAGACATTACTATAGTATCCCTAATAGAATGCATCAATTGAAAGCAGAATGATATAAATACTTGCTCTAAGTTAAGGGAATAAACCTCCAATAGATAATCTGTTTGCTTTACAGGCAGCTTCAAGAGAAAAATAAGTGGATAGAGTCCCAGGAGCCTGACAATGTTAGATCATCTTAAAATTCAGTATGTCTAGTTTTTACAGTGGCCTTTACCCTTGAATAGCCTTACTCCAAAAGGAATCCTCTGAAAATCAATGAATTCACGTCCATATTGTTTTGTGAAACTGAGCCAACCAAGAATCATTATTCAAAAGGTCATGATAGGGCAAGTACTTTAAATATGATGGAGTCTAGAATTGTTCAAGAACTGTAATATCAGCCAATAATTTAACATAATAAACCCCAGACAGTTTAGTATAGAACATATATCAGTTTCCAACTGAAATAGATCAGGCATGATCTAAACAATATATTTTGAACTGTTTCAATTCCCAACAAAGCTCTGTTCCAAATTGGAGTGTCATATGATAACTGAGTAACTTCCAGAGCAGCACAGGTTATCTTTCCTCACCTCTTTCTAGAAATGGAAATGATTGCCTTAAAACCCGTGCTTGCCTTTAGCCACAGATTTCCTGTGTTTTTTTAGTTCTGAAAGAGAAATAAATGTCTATCTTGGTAGCAGGCCTATTAACAATTATCCTCCAGTAATAGCTATGCTATATTATGGTGCACATGAGCTTAAGTGTAAATACAGAGTACTTTCATCTTCAACTTGCTCCCAATAATTCAGTCTTACAAACAGGTCAGAAAGCTGAATCAGGCTTGTCACACAGAATGGAAGTTGTGTTTAGGGCAGGGAACCAAGTGTGCAGGAAGGCCTGTTGAACACTTGTGAACAATGAGCACTTTGTGTTTAAAATGGAAGAGAACACTGCAAGGCGTTCACATAGTTAGGCATCCTCCTGCCCCTCAATAGGAAGGAACCATGTGCCCAAAGCAAGAGCACTTCCTCCTTCAGTTCTTATTGTATGCATTTGGCTACAACTGAAGGATGGGTTCAACTCAAGAAGCTCGTCAGGTCTTCCCACAGATCTTGCTACTGGTCACTCTTAGGCTTAAAAATGGCAGGTACATCACTCAATGGAACTTTCATGTTTAAAAGCAAGCTGGGTTGTCATACCAGTAAAGGCTAGCCACCTAGCAGAGAAATCTTTTGTTTCCAAATTTAACTGTTGTTTTGGCATAGCTAATGATAGTAATAAAAAGTATTCTCTATAGCCCTGAACTGAAATCATACAATAATGTCTATACTAGAATATTTCCATTGTGTAAGTTATCTTTTACATGTTTTAAAATGTTATTAGACATTCTAAATGAAAGTCCCAAGAATAAACATCTGTAATGCTTGTATTTTATACAGAAATGAACCAAAGTAAATGTGCTGAATATCCCATTACTTATGCCTGGATGTTTCAAATAATTATGTTTAAAAACTTAAATGATTATATGTACAATGTATATCAATACAAAACAGTGTCTTTTAAAAGCATTCCAAGTTTTGCCTTTCTATACAGACCACTGATTCTGCAGAATCAGTTATTACATCCCTGTAGAAACTAAAACCTCCACCAGTAGGTAGTAGTATTTCTGGAATGATCACATTTACTAAGAGAACACAAAACAGCACCAAAGCAACTCTATATATGGCCCATACACCCAGATGAGTCTATCAGCAAAAAATTCAACCTTCATTTGTGTAGTTTCTACTTTTGTGAAATAAGCAAGGTATTTCATTTATAAAGTCATGCCCCAAATTGGCTAATTCCTGAAATCTATAATTGCCTGATTCACAAAATCCCTAAGGCTTTTTTAGTATACAATTTGCAACATCTTAGGAACACAGCAGTAATGGCATGTCAATTAAAGTAGCTCCGTCATCTAAGAACTCATGAGATGCTTCCTTGTAACTTTGACTATGCCCAGGTTACTTTCAGAGAAAGCACCCTCCTCATCTGATCAACTGACTTCATTTGGCTATTTTATGATCTGAATCTACAGATCTCATCTATTTTTCCATTCCTTAGAGAAGAATGTTACCTTCCTCATGAAGTTTATGTCAGTTGTGCTGATGTGTGCTCTTTTTAGGATTTTTCAGCTTGAAGGTTGACATTGGGGAGTGTTTTCATGAAACTGTTCAACTTCTCACTTTTTTTGCTGGTGTAGTTTGTTTTCCTGTTGCCAGTGGCAATTCTCCCCTTCTTCCACTGCTACCAATTTAGCCTTGGTGTCCTATTGCGTTCTCATAATAAATGTTGACCATTTCAGAAATAGTATTGTAGAATGAGGCCAGGAGAGTGACAGAAGAAAGACAAATCAGATGCTTCCTGCCCTCACTCTGGAGTACTTCTGGTTAAAACATATCACACAAACAAAATATATGTATGTATGTATTTTTAAAATAATTTTTAAGTGGTCAACAGCAGTGCTTGCTGCCACCAGTAAGTTTTCGCACTATTTCAACTTAGCTCATATCAAAGAAATACTGAACTTTGGGAGATAACTTTGAATGGGAGGCAATGTTAACCAGAGAGCAGCTTGGTATGCCAGTGTCCATGAAGTACCTATTCTTAAACCTTGACAATGCAACATATCAGAATACTGTACTACAATGCAGTGATGCATTCCATTTGGCTAGCAGTTAACTATAGTGAACTATTCCCCTGGATGAACTCACCTGTCATGTCTAATGGTGACCCCACCACACAGACACGTAACATCAACATGTATGGTTACCTTCCAAATTCAGTGCAACAAGATTTTAGTTGACTGCACAGAATTGGGAAACTTGCTGGTGCATCTAAGCTCAGAACTGACAGAGCAACTCCATCCTTGTTGGGGAAGTATGGTAGAAGCAACACTAGCAACATAATTGTTCACAATTATGTTGAACAGTCAAGGACTACTTGACATGGCGGCAACCTGGCTACAACATCCATAAGTTATTATACATACTTCCAAGCATCTAAACATCTTTCTTTACATACAAGTGTGCACAGCATCAGCTTGGAATACTGAAACAGCGAGCTGTTTGCCAGCAATAAAGGAACCCATATAGTCTGGTTGTTTTTCCAAATGGAGGCAAATAAAATTGGGTTTAATTGAAATTCCAATATGTTAAATATGGAACAAACAGAGATGGGACATGAAATCCTTCATACAATGTGTTCAAGTATCAATGTCCCACAATATGCCAATGTTAATTGGCTAATGCACTATTTAACCTAATATAATGAGCTTATTTGTAACAATACTATGAGGTTAAGAAATACCTGAATCCCTCCTTACTATACAAAAGCCTCTCTTCAAATAGTCTCGGGATACAGAATAAAGACTTCATAGATTTATGGGGCTGCATGGTAGAAACCTGTTTGCCCAGTGATTTACAGACTCTGCTGTCTGTTTGACTGTCAATATAACTAATTATAGTTGAATCTAGATTACTGTACTGCAAATTATCATCTATGTGAAATATAGTGTTCCATATTGGGGAGGGAGATCAAACATCCTCAGGGCTACCAAACAAGAACGAACTATTCCATATTAGGATGCAAAACTCAAGACCTGTCATAAACCTTGAAATTACTATTTCCTGGCACAATGTTTTAGTGCACACTACTCAAATACAATAAATCACCATTACTTTAATATCATTCCTTGTGCATGAAATATTCCATCTTGCTTAACAGTATGGGAAATTTATCAGTTTCCATCGCACACAGGTGACAGACATTTGCTGAAGCTTGAAGGGGGAAACAGTGCTAATTTAAGGAGCAATCCTGTAGCTCCTAAACATTGTCTGAGGGGGCCAATGAATAGTTTGGATTCCTAGCTCCAAATTCAGGTAGCATCTGAATTCAGAGAGGGGTATGGGAAATTTGATGCCCTTTGCTCTCACAGCTGCTGCAGAAAGAACCATGCTGGTTGTCCTCAGAGGCTGGGAAAGTCATTTTGGAGAGGTGAGAAGGGTGTATTTCAGTGGGCAGGGTGGGGAAGAGACAAAGCCATTACACTAGCTATCTTGAGGCTGTGCCAGCCCCTCTCCCACAACTTCTGAATCATCTTCATGAGATGAGTCTATTTAGGAGGAGTCCCTTTTCAGAGTCCATGTAGGAAGGGGAGCATAAAAAGCCCGTTTAACAGAAAAGGTCTCCATTCCTCCTCCCACCCTGCACAGTATGACCATACCTGCTCGAGTTTAGGAGCTTATGAAAGCGGAAGATGCAACCTGTGAGACTGCACACTTTCTTGAAGTTTCATTGAAGGAATCTCATTGCTATTGGTCTCATTATTAAAGACCAAGGGGTTCCAAACATGGTATTTTGAATTTAGTAAAGATAGCTTCTCATACCAATGAATAATTGAATAAATTCTCACTTTTTCAAGATTATATTTTTAATAGTGCCATATCAAACAAGAGAGCCTAAATCCTGAGAATCTGTGAAAGGGAATAAATTGGAAACATATCAGGGGCTGAAGGTAGGATATCTGGGCTATATTTAGCAATACTTAACAAAGTATGGAATGGAAGCCTAAATTACTCCACAGTGATTTCTCCAGCTGCACAAATAATGCAAATAAGAAACAAGGAAAATATAATTTATGTATCTTCAGTATTAACAAAGCTTTTCCCTCTACTTTAAAATGTTTTCTCCCTTGCAAGGCACACTAACTACATATATCCCATGTTGCTTTTTGTTTCCCATCTTTTCTTGGCTTCAAATCTGAAAAGAAATACAAACATATGTCAGTATCTACCGAAGTACACTTCAGGGAGTTTTCAATCAAATTTCATTTAGAAGCAATGGTTAAATTGGAACTGGGTTTTTTAATACCCTAGCAATCACAAAAGGGAAAGTATAAACATTTGAATAATGTATCAGTTATACTAAAGACTCTACATTAAACAGATGCAATACTCAAGGAAAAAGCCAAGGTCATATTAAACAAACAAGGATTAGTGCAAGCCAATTTGAAGGAGGAGAATCTTAACTACTCTTAAATATAGAAGGCCAGAGACGCACCCCCACGCAAGCTTCTTTTTCTTTCGAGCTTCTTGAGAAGCCTCCGCATCTTGCTTTGCTTTCACAAAGTTTCGGCAAGCAACAGCTTTGGTAATTTTCACGCCAAGCTATTGAGAGAAGAACATAAACAAATGAGTCCATAGTTAAAAGTTAAAAACAAAATAAAAGCCGTTTTAAGACCATTTGAGAAAATTTGGATTGCTAAAATTTGTCCTACACAAACCATGGAAAATGTCTGCGCATATACAGGGAACAGGTGGAAGATGAATAAGTCTGCTCGGACTTCTGTGGAGTAAAGTTTGATTATTGGCCTAGAAGACAAATGGCATAACACAACATAAATCAGAAGCAGAATGCATCAACTTATTCCAGTATCAACCACCTGAAATTATGTTTAATGAGTCATATTTAGTTTCAGTACAGTTTGCAAATGAGGCGGGGGTTATCCTGCAAGAGCAACAACATACTACTCTAACTACTAGAGCCAAAGTCGTTCTTGAGTTTCATTTAAGCACACATTATTTAGGAATTGGGAGCAGTGGCTGTACCGTTTGACTGCCTGAGGCCTTTGCTTGCAAGCTATGCTTTTCAAATGGAAAAAGTTGGCTCAGTAGCATTTGCAACATCCCCACATACAAAACAATTGTAAGAGAAAAAGTACACGCATTTTTATCAGGTGCACAGATTTTCATTATTTCAACTTTGTGTACCTTTTTGTATGAAACATTTAAGTGTGGCTGTTACTGGTCACAACGTTGTTACAACATGATTTTTAATCAGTCACAATGTAATCAAAACCAGCAAAATAAAATGAAAAAGCTAAATGACTACCTAGAACAAATAATTATTGTTCCAATGAAAAATAACAATAATTATTGTTCCCAGCAACCAATGAAAATCAAATGACAAATACATTTTATTTCAGCAATCAGATTCTCAGTCAAACATAATAAATGTGACCAGGATATTATATAACCAAATACATGGTACATTACTTTCTTCTTGCAGATGGAAACAACAAGAAATTTACCTTCACACTATGGAATTTCACTAGGGATTTAAACACTAGTGAACCAGTGTTTACATACAATGTCTGAGATCCAACTAACAGAAAGTTGTCATTTTGGGGGTGAGGTGAGAGACTCTGATATCAGCCAACAGCACACCATAAGAACATAGCTCTGTTAGATGGCTCTGTGAAGCCCATGAACAGGGCAACCAAAGTCAATAACCATCTCTTCTTGTTCTTCTCCACCAGTTAATATTCAGCCACAGATTACTTCTGTAGATGGAAGTTCCATCATAAATGCAAATTCCAGGTGGACAATAAGGATATCATCCACATGGAATTACAACTGTGATAGCCCCATTGATAAAGACAGAAATGACCTTTGCTATTTGTTTCCAGCTTCAGTATTGACTTGAGGGATGGTGCCAGGCCCCCACACTACTGAGAAGATCCACTGATGCTGCAAACGTTAGCAGGAGCCATCCTAACATTCATAGCCAAGTAGAAACTACACACATGAGGCATGATGTAACATTAGCTAATGCTACTAAAAATCTTAAACAAGGAAAAACATAGCACTCATCCTATGCATAAAATATACAGAATGGAACAAACATAAAGGGCAACATCCAGTGGAGCCACTATGTTTTTCCTGTGTTTTTTTTAATTGCATCAAGCTATTGCATTAAGCTATTGGTCCTGTGCCAGAAGTTGCTTATACTAGCTGTATGTCAATTCATAAGTACAGTGGCACTGCTGGATACTGCCCAAAATATGCAGGTAATACCATACAATTTCATACGATTGCTTACAAGCAAGTTGGGAATCTCAATGAAGTAGAGATAATTTCAAAGCTTGCCAAAGACTAGTAAGACTGTACTCCAAACATCAAATCTGGTGGTGACACCAGAACAGTTCAAAGGGGTAGTGATGGGAAGAGTTAAGACAGAAAAGAGGGAACTCTAGCAAAGTCACGGAGAGCAGTGGTGGAAGATGCAAGATGGGACATATGAGAGATGAGGAAAGAGTATGCACACACTGATCCTATCAGCAGTGTCCCTGATTGGTACTTATTTTACAAATCACAAGGCAATATATACCGATTATAAATAATGATAGCCGGTGCCTAATGTTCAAATTGCAAATATGTAACCTCTACTACCATGCAGCCTTACCAGCCATTTGTCTTATTAAACTACCAGTTAGATAAATTCATACATTCACAGAGTAAATATTATGAAATGGGCATTGCCTAGCTCCTTGTATGCCCACTGCCAAGATCAGTTTATTAGGAGAGGAATGATGTACTGGTGTTCTCTCTCACTGAAGTTTAAGACTTCGACTGTCAGTTGAGCAAACAACTGGAAGGCTATGGATCCAAACCAGGAGCTGACCAATCCCAAGAGATAAAGTTAAGGAGTTCTATTTGATCTTACCAAAGTATTTGCTTCATGGCTCTAGAAAGCAGAAACTGGTGCTTTCACTAAACCAGTTTACTGGTTAACTTTAACATTAGTCCAGCAGTCTGGTACATGCAGTGAAGGCTGAGGTAATGAATTCCATGTAAACATGTTTTGTCCATTCTCTTTCATCTCAGGAACCATCCCATATGTAGCCAATAATGCACACAAGCCTCTCTTAAAATATTAAACAGAATAAGGTAGGCTCTTAATGTGTGAACCTCTGATATATGTGAACTGGAATTCCCATTTATAGACAGACAAAATCTCAAAACACTGGCATCTCAAGTAATTCTCTTGCCTTTGTGATGAGGAAGTTTCATTTCATTTGTTATCAAATAATTAAAACACATTGTAGCTTGCCATGCATTGTCATTTTTGTTAGGTAAAGCATGTTTCTGTAAGACATTCAATGACAATTATTTAAATTGACATTATTATAGTGACAATATTAGGGGAGGGGGGCAAGTCTAATCAGGGCTGAATGAACAAATAATTAATGAGAAGAAACCTGCCGAAGGAATCAGCCATATTTTAACTGTGGCCCAGATAATTAATGGCAGGGCTCAATATGAATATTAATACAACAGTGCAATCCTATACATACCTGCTCAAAGGTAAGACTGAATGAATTCAAGGGGGCTTACTCTCAGCTGAAGATGTAAGAATGCAGTCTAAAATAAATATCCAGGAAAGCAAGGTTTTTTAAGTTTTTTATTTTATAGATTCTACCTTTTATAGTCTAGAATGTCCGCATGTTATTTTCTGCACTTTAAACAATCAAAAAGTCCACTTCGTACCTATAATAATGTGTTGTTGTAAATCACCCAGAGAGCTCCAGCTACTGGATGGTACAGAAATTATATAATAAACAAATAAATGTACAAACAATGTCACGATACCCACAAACCTCTAGCCCTGATCTAGCCCAGAGTGTGTGAGTACAGCTGTAGCTTATCCGCTATTAACAGGATTGCATTTATTTGCCCTCTATAGACAACAATGTGGTCTTTCTAACTCAGCTGGATTGCTGCCTGTCTTTACATTTCAGTGAAGTAAAATAACTCTTCGTGCCTTGGCAAAACTGGGGTCTAGAATGGGTTAAAAAGTTCCATTCTATTCTGGAAGGAGAACAGAAAATATTTTCCGGCATTAATCTAAATGTGTAAAGATGGCACAGAGTACAGGATGCAACTTTTAAAGACAACTGCGTTGTGAACAAATGAGGTACAACCGTGTCTGATTCAGCCAAATCATTTTGCCTCCCATATACACCCTCCCATATATCCTCACTGCCTTTCCTAACAGAAGCCCCCCAAATCTTGGTCAATGTATTTTACATTTTAAAAAAATGTTGCAGGTCATCAGATAATAATAGAAAAATATAGTGTTGTAAGAAGCAATAAAACATGAATAAAAATACATACAACAATTTCTTGTGTAGTCAAAGTATCAGCGTTTTCCATATAGAACATCCAATATTTTGCTGCATTTTAATTAAGGTGTCTAAACATTATCACAAAGAACTGCAAATTGGTCAGAGCACGCAGTAAGGAAAATTAAGCTCTAAAGGCTTTTTATCACCACATTTCAGGAACCAAGGGTGTAAAATGTTCTAATTTGGGATATATTAAAAGCCATAAAAGGTCTTTCAAAAAGATTAATGGTACTTTGCTTGGATTTAAGATAAGGGCTTTAGCTGGTTGGAAAAGCAGGGCCCTGGCTAGACCCTTGAGGCATTCATCTTTACAGCCACTTGGAAGATTTGTAAAAGCGTCTGCATAACCTCAAGCAAACGCACTGCGACGTTTTTTAAAAATTCCTTTCAATTTTATAGGTTTAAAGTGTGTAAATCATATTGAGGAGTAATGTAGATATAATGGTTTATCCTTGTAACATAGTATGAATTTTTGAGAAACTTTTTTAATCATATAAGTTTTCTAGGAGGCAAAAATCATTCTTATTGAAGTTCACAGATAATCATTTCAAAAATCTTGCTTTTGCAGCTTAATACAGCGTAACAGCATACTTGCTGTTCATTATTTTTCACCCTCCCCCTGCAAGAAAGAAAATGAATAGCCATCAATAATACCTGGTTACAAATTTCTGAATCTTCATCTCTTTCCAAACAGTATGAAGACACTTATTAAAAAATACCAATTATCATACTTAAACTTTTTTGTGGAATAACAGGTTTCTAAGAAAAATATTTATGCTATTCGCTTTTGTTCTTTAATTAAATGAAAACAGATGTTTTCTGAAGTAAAGCGGAACCATTACTGAAGTACTTAAAGTGCTAAGGTCTTTAATTTTTATATCAGTTTGGTCTACAATTCCTGATTGTCTTTACTCAAGCTCAACATTAATGTCAAGCAAGTTACCTAGGAGACGAAAGAGATCAAAGAGACAAAACCCCCTCAAATGTCTGATTAATCAAGCCTGCAAACAGCTTATTTCTTTTAGCCTGCATGCAAGTATGAAAATGAGATTCAGGGAGCCGTACATTGTGCAGATTTGTTCATTCTTATCAGAACAAAGCCAGCGGCAGCTTATTTCATGGATCATTGGCACTGTCATCAGTGCTACACAGAACGGGTGACAGCTCCTCATTTTGAGGCTTGAACAAAATTAGCAAAAA